TCTCTCTCTCTCTCTCTCTCTCTCTCTCTCTCTCTCTCTCTCTCTCTCTCTCTCTCTCTCTCTCTTTCTCTCTCTCTCCATCTATCTATCCATTTATCTATCTATCTATCTATCTCTCTGATTCTCTCTCTCTGTCTCTGTCCCTGTCCTTATCTCTCTCTATCTCTCTCTCTCTGTCTTGCTCTCTCTCCATCTGTCGATTTATCTTCGTTTGTATGTGTGTCTGTTTCTGTGAGTGCATGAACCAGTCAATCCGATCAATTGATTGGTTAATTTCCTCTTTTATGCCTTGAACAATAGTGTTGGTATACGACAATGAGTATTACATTCTAATAGAGGCTAGATTATCGTCTAATTTCGTTATCGGTATATTCGTTTTGTTTTGTTTTTCGTGGTGGTCTCTGCAGACAGACAAGTGTCTGATGAAACCAACGCGATGGGGTCTGATTGGGATAAGACCGCATACGATGATGCATTTGACTATCCCCTGATTAAAGATGAGCTGAAAAAAAAGTACATTGAGAAGTGTAACGAATGGTATGAGTATACCGCGGGGGCTGAGATTCACAAGAGAGAACAACGTTTGCATGAACGTCATTCTAAACTGTGATATGATGTTGAAGGTAAGCTTCCCAGTGATTTTGTGTTGAGGAGGCAATGTGGCCGCTACCTCACAGACAATGAAGGCCTTCGATGGACTCAGGATGAGTTGCTAGAGATGTTGAAGAAGAAGGAGGAGGAAATAACTACATTGAGGAATGCATTTATGAAAGTTGAGTTGAATGCACGATCAGTGGTTGAAAGTTTCATCGAAGCAAAACGAAGTGAAGAGGTAAGAGATTCTTTTGTGTCATGTGTTGGGGTTGTGAAGAAAGAGGCGGATGCTGCCGAGGACATGGACAGACAGTTCAAGCATTTAATTCAGTCATCCATTAGAAATGATTTGTTAGACGAAGTTTGTAAGCTTAATACTAGAGTTCACCCGCACCTGTTGCAAGAGTGTGACGATTTGCGTCCACGATTAGAAGAAGCCGAGAGTGGGATAAGAAAAATATTGTTGGTAGATGCCTTACCATCTATTGATTCTTCTTTTGCTTCGGAGGTGTTTGAGATTCCATTGATTGCAACTTTGGAAGAACCTTCCAAAGGTGCGTTTGATTGCTATGTTAGAGTCATTGTGAAATGTTGGTTCGGAGCTGGCACACAGGAATGCCCTCTTAGAGGTACAAAATGCGATGAAGTTCCCGGTAAGTGATAGTCACTTGAGGGGAACAATGATCACGCTTTGACATTTGTACAAGTAGACAAGGGAAGAGTTAATGGATTCAATGTTCAGGGAAGATTTTTTAGATCGATGTGACGACGGATTCACGAATGGCATGCTGACACTTTACAAACAACAGTTGTACTTTGTTGGCAAATGTCATTGATGCCCATTCGCCACAACGGTTTAAGGAGGAGATGCAGCATCTGAAAAAGGGAATTGAATGCTCTCGCGAGCATAAATAAGGAACATGAGACAAAATTGCATGAGGTGGTGCTTGCGTTGATTGAAGCATTGAGGCGTCCGTGTCCTAAGTGCGGCCACTTATTAAGCCATGTGAGAAGGGGAGACTCTAGAAATATTAATGATTTGACGGTTGTTAGATGTAAATGTGATGAAACGACAA